AAAATTAGTTGGGCCTGGTGGCATGAGCCTATAATCCCAGCTACTTAGGAGGCTGAGGCAGGAGAATCGCTTGAACCCGGGAGGTGGAGGTTGCAGTGAGCCGAGATTGTACTACTGCACTCCAGCTGGGCGACAGAGTGAGACTCCATCTCAAAACAAAAAGCATTCTTCTGAGAAGGGGATCATGAAGCTAACAAAATCCACAGGATAAAGAATGCTTAAGAAACTCTGCTTTAGGAACAACCATTTCTGAGGATCATTTTATGCTCCCCTTAACCCCAGACCAGTGTTTCCCAAATCAAGACAATAAGAATCACTTGAGGGACTTATTATTCTGAGTGAGGCCTAAGAATCATTTTGTTTAACAGGAGCATCTGGAGGTTTAGGAAATGCTGCCTTATAATCAGTAAATTTGGGGAATGCTGCCCTAGGCTGTGTCTATTGAAATCAATAGACAAGTTCAGTACCTGAGGACACTTTCCTGCTTACTCAACTTCTGTGTTGCCACAGGAAGTTAGTTACATTCATTAGCAAGTAAGAGTAATACCACCTGGTTTCTGTGTAATTCTGAAGTGAGTTATTCATTAGAATGCAGGAGAAAGAATCGTGTCTCTAAAAAGCCTCAATCAATCTGATTTTTTTTCATTTTTTTTTTTTTTGAGACTGAATCTTGCTCTATCACCCAGGCTGGAGTGCAGTAGCATGATCACTGCAACCTCCACCTCCCAGGTTCAAGCAATTCTCATGCCTCAGCTTCCCAAGTAGGTAGGATAACAGGTGCCCACCACCACACCCAGCTAATTTTTGCATTTTTGGTAGAGACGGGGTTTCACCATGTTGGCCAGGCTGGTGTCGAACTCTTGACCTCAAGTGATCCACCCACCTCTACCTCCCAAAGGGCTGGGATTACAGGCATGAGCCACCATGCCCGGCCTTTTTTCACTTTTATCTGTTTTAATTTCAAAAATCATTTTGCCTTTCATAATCCTCCAACACTTCGTACCTATCTCACCTTCGGTGCCTATCACATTGCCTCATAGCTGTTTTTTAAGTACCTATCTCCTGGGCCCTCAGTTCACCCATACCCATTCATACATTACTTCTGGTAATAGGCACACATTGTATTCTGAGATCCTGGGAACAAAAACAGGTTTGTTTCAATACATCCGTCCAAGCAAAGTATCAGACACATCATGGGCACTCATTAGACCATGGCTATAGGGATAATGGATGGACACACACGAACTCCTCTACCTCCTATGATACTAGAATGGAGTTAAATTGTACACATCTCAGAAGTGCAAGCTACTAACCTTTGGAGGCAGGAAGAGTAATGGTTAATATAAAGGGGTTGAAATTCTAGCTCCTTTTACAAGCTATGTGTCCTTAGGTAAATTACTCAACCATTCCAGGTCTCCATTTCTTTATCTGTAAGTTAGAAATCACATCTACCTCTTCAGGTTGTGATGAGAAAATGTGTGAGAGTTACTAGCATATTCTTGGCACCTAGATGCACTTTATTGATCCCTTACTATTAGTTGCTTGATGTGGAGGATGCCAATAGAAAAAAAAAAATTCATTACAAGTCCCATCAATTAGAGACTAATTTTAATGTATAAGCTCCAGGGAAGGCTAAGTGATGGCACCTTAGTGGGAATTATTTTAATCAGCTAATCAGATTGTTTTCTTCTTGACTCTTAGCTGAAATCAAGGAGGGAATGAGAATTTTGATGGCAGAATCAGAAGATGGGAAAAGAGGATAGCCAGAATGGGATGACGGGCCAGTGGGGGCCTGGAAGCCAGAGAACAGCTTGGGGGCTTTGGCCTTTGGGGGCTAAGCAGGAGGGGTATTAAAGAAAACTGTCTGTGTACTTTCACCAGCCCCAAAGGCAGCACGTACTACTGTCTCTTGCACTATTCTTTGAACCCTGGGATAGAGGCAATCAGGAGAGTGTCTCTTTCCCTAGAAAGGAGATGATATGGTCCGCCACACAAAAATCCCTGAGGAGTACCTGGTTTTCTTCTTTCCCCTGGTATCTACCTGCTTCCAACAGGTATCATCCTTCCAAAGGTATCATCCCTTTTCCAACAACTACCCCTCCTCACCTAATACTTCCCTATAGCAGGGTGGGTAACAACCTACATTCCAATGCTCTGTCTGCCTGTACTAGCCCTGTGACCTTGGACAAAGTGCTTATTCTTTCTAAGCTTTTAGGTTCTTCCTCTGCAATGAAGATAATAATCCTCTGTCATAGAATTATAATCAGCAATAGAAGTCATGTATGTAAAGTGCTCTGCAGAACACCAGGCACTTAGTAAGCATTCAATAAATGTTAGCTGTTATTATGACAGATTATGTCAGAGACCATTTATTATTTCAGAATGTATTTTCATGGTTGGGCCCTGCTCTGGGAGTGGGGATGCAGCAGCGAACAAGCAAATCTTCCTGTTCCTCTTGGTGTTGGTTAAGTAACAATAACTCCATCTCTTATCAAGTAAATGTATAACTTGTCTTCAAAAATCTGTAAGAACACATATAATAAAAACAAATTCAGTTTTCAAAGTCTGAAGTTTCAAAGTTATAGAAATTGGTGAACGGGTCATGTGGATTGGTAACACATGTACAGTGGATTCTCAATAAATGTTAATTCCTATTAACAATATTAGGATATCATGATGATCTCTAGTATTTTATTGAAGAATGCCTTACTTCTCCAGTTATCTTGTAAATTCTTTAAGGATAGACTCTGTAGTACATTTTGTAAAACCTCTCAACACACATGACATACACTCCTACAAAGCAAGTACTAAGAGCTTCACAAGTATTTGCTTTATAAGTGCATGAATGAATGAATGAATGAATATCCAGCAAACACTGAAGTTTGCTGTTATCCTAATTATCCTTTCTCACCTACCCTAGCCTGAAACACACATAAACAAACATGTGTTCACAGTTATGCCAAAAAGGGTTTTTAAAAACATTAACTGCAGAGTAGATATAATGTTGAAATAAAATTTAGCATACAAAATCAGCTTTTGCAAGAAGCTTTTACAGTATGCAACTGTCCTATATAATGAACAAAACCATCTTGTATTCTCCTGGTTCCCCTAAATCATTGTGTTATTATGACTCTTTAGATCAGAATTCTTACCTCTCAATCTTTTAAAAGCTTTTTATTCTCAGGATTCCTATAAATTCATATTCAGCCTTTATTTATATAGAGCCAATTGGTCAAACTAAAAGAGAGACAGTAAATCCAAAACCAAATGAAAAATATGATGATTTCTTCACTAGTTTTAACTTTTCATTGTTGCTTTTAAACAAAAAATCATTAGTCAGGGTTTCTCAAAACAGTCTGGAGATGACCAAACATAGGAATAAAATGAGATGCAAAAAAAGAAATAAATCCAAGGGGAAGAAGTTATTAGGGACGAGGAAGGATAGACGGCCTTTTAGGACCTTGTTTTATTGGGATAAAACAGAAATGAACAGTAAAGTGACCTGGTCATATAAGGAGATCCTTGAATAGAGAATCCAGATGAAGGAATAGCGCTATCTTTATACACAGTCATTTGGTCAGTATCTGTTCTCTTGTTGAGAAGGCTACTGTACCATTTTTCACTTTCTTGCTCTTAAATGGCCATTGGGCCTATTCAGGAGGGGTATTGTGAATACTTAGCTACAGCCAGAGTCACAAAGCCTGGCAGGTTTCTCCCTGAGAACTAGGGTCCCCAAGAATGACAGCCCACCCGCCCAGGCAAGAAGCTGGTAACTGCACAAAGCTTTGCGGTCCATTGGTGGCCTTTGGTGGACATTTTAAAGGTGACAATCTCCCTGACACATCTTCCTGATTCAATTAGGCTATGCAAAAGTTTTAAAAATAAATAGAAATATACTAGAATATAAATGATGTTACCTAAATTCCTGACTGTAAGCATTACTCAGAGGATGTTATGGAGCTTGAAACACATGTATAGACAGATGCATGAGGTTGAAACCATCCTCATGAATTCTGAGTAGTAAACAGAATCCAGCCCTTTTCCCCACCTTTTGGTTTTTGGGATGTGGATGGGGAGGGAGAGTGTTGAAGGTAGTCACATTGGCACAGATTTATTTTATATAGATTCCCATAGATGTTGTTTCAGAATGTTTCCAAGCTTTATAACCTGAAGCCAGATATATTTTTACTTTGGAGGTAAATTTTATGAAAAATGTGTTCTTAACTTATTTCTTGAGTACATGATGAGCTCTCTACTGGGTGAAGGACTTCAGAGACACAGTTTTGGCACAATGTACGCATCGGGCAGTCACCGAAGTTCTTTTACCACCAGCTGAGCATCTATGAGTAAGTTATCACTTAACCACGAGGAGCATTAGTTGCCTCCTGAGTTTGAACTTCAACAGTGATTCTCAAACCTTGGTATGTACAGGAGTGTTTATTTAAAAATGAAGGTTTTAGCTGGGCTTGGTGGTGCATACCTGTATTCCCAACTACTCGGGAGGCTGAGGCAGGAGAATCGCTTGAACCTGGGAGCCAGAGGTTGCGGTGAGCCGAGATCAAGCCATTGCACTCCAGCCTGGGCAGCAAGAGCAAAACTCCCTCTCAAAAAATAAAATGAATGTAAAAAAACAAAAATGAAGATTTACAGACCACCGAGGCAAAGATTCTGACTCAGTAGGTATAGGAAGGATTCAGAAATCTACATCTTTAATAACACCCCACTGTGGACCACACTTCGAGAATCACTGTACTAATTGACTTGGAAGATCACTTCCAGCATTAGCATTCTAACATTCTGTGACTGTGTCCTTTCTTTAGGCAACCAATCTTGGATAGCCTGGCACTCCCTCGATGTTCGTCTGCCCTGTAGGAACAATGGTACACAGGGAGCAGGAGCGCCAACATCTACACTAGGCAGCATAGGAAAGACAATAGGGCTAACTAGGTTGTTGCTCCTTCACTGGGGTAAACACTAACATCCTTGTCTCTGATACCCAGGTGACAGGTGGAGTCTGGAATTTCAGCCGCGTTTGCTGCGATGTTTTTGTCACCCTGGATGTCATGATGTGTACAGCCAGCATCCTGAACCTCTGTGCCATCAGCATAGACAGGTAGGGCTACAATTCCCCTTCCAGGTGGCCCAAAAGCTGGGGAAGTGGGGAGAGACAGATTTTGCACTTGAGGGTACTGGGGTCACCTCCAAGTAGAACTTGACACTGGAACATTTTCTTTCCTCTCTTTTTCTTTTAAAGTGTGGTTTGCCGGTGAGAAGAAACCCCTGCGACAGGAGGGAAATAATGACCCTATAAGCTTTCCTGGCCTTTCTCCTCCTCCGGCTCCCTGAACAGGATTCTGCTTTTGCTTTTCCACCATCCTTTGGGGGCTTTTTGGCTTCCTAATAGGAAGGAAAGCGGGAGGGGGAGAAGGAGGAAAGGTGAGCCGACTGGGGTTGGTAGGAAATTCTGTAGTTGTTTTGTTTGGTTGGAGGTGAGAGATGGAGAGAAGGTGGGAGAGAGAAAGAGAAAGAAAGAGGGGCAGGTGTAGGGATAATTTTTGAGGGGGAGAGAGGAGAGAAGTGGGGGAGAAAGGCAATTTTAGAAAGCATGGCTGTGATCTATGTTTCTCTCATAGAGCTTAGAGAAGCAAGTAAAGAATAGTATGTTTTTTTAAATTACATTTTGGTTGCTGGGGTAAATTGCTGTGATTTTGACTCCTCTCTGTGTGTTCTGCCTGAGTAGCATTGCTTTCTATCCCTGAGAGCACCTGGACTCACCACCCTTGCTCTGGGTCCCTCTGTTTCTCCCTTCCCCCCTCTCCTTTTGTCTTCCTCTCTTCTTCCCCTTTCCTCTGCCTAAGCCTTAGATTTACCTGGCTCCCCCTCCCCGCACCCCCTCCCGACATCACCAGCCTCACTGAGAGCCCTGGGGTAAAGGAGGTCACTTTCAAGCCTATGGCGCTTGATGCCAGTCAAAAGCCGCCTCCCTTTCCTTCTCTGAGTTTTCTGTCTCCCACTTCCCCTTCCACCTCTTCTCCTTCTCCCAGTAATATCATCCATCCACCTCATAACTCCAACAGGTGACCCCAGATAAGATCTGCCATTTATTGAGAATTTATCACATTGTGCTAAGCTTTGACACACATTAGTTCATTTCATCTTCACAATTCTTAGGTACGGTTATTATCTTATGTATTATCTTAGGTACTGTTATTTCATGGTATAAACATTGGCTACCTTCAAACAGGGACCACTGAATTCAGCTGAATACTCTTTGTTCAAGACTCTGTAATGGGCACAGCAGGGAATGTCACAGGTGATCGGTCTTGTAGAAGAGTTTGGGGTGATGATAATGAAGCAAACCAGCTGCAGTCCTCTACTGCTGTAAATAATGTATTCCTGAAAATGTGCACTAAATGTCTAGAAATTATACAAAAGACTTAGATATTAGAGCTAAAAATATTGTAAAATCCCCAACTCTTCACTTTTTAAAACAGCTTTATGCAAATATAACTCACATACCACACAATTCATCCACTCAAAGTGTGTAATTCGATGTTATATTGTTATGTTTACAGATTTATGCAATCATATTCCTATAATTTTTTTTTCAGAGATGAGGTCTTGCTATGTTGTCCAGGCTGGCCTCAAACTCCTGGACTCAAGCGATCCTCCCACCTTAGCCTCCCAAGTAGCCAGGATTACTGGCACACACTACTGCACCTGGACCCCTCTTTTTATTTTTATTTTATTTTATTTCATTTTATTTTTTGAGATAGAGTTTCACTTTTGTTCCCCAGGCTGGAGTGCAGTGGTGCGATCTCAGCTCACTGCAACCTCCACCTCCCGGGTCCAAGTGATTCTTCTGCCTCAGCCTCTCAAATAGCTGGGATTACAGGCATGCGCCACCATGCCTGGCTAATTTTGTATTTTTAGTAGAGATGGGGTTTCTCCATGTTGGTCAGTCAGGCTGGTCTCGAACTCCCGACCTCAGGTGATCCGCCCACCTCAAACTCCCAAAGTGCTGAGATTACAGGTGTGAGCCACTGTGCCTGGCCTACCCCTCTATTTTTAAACACACTCTTTAATGGTATTATTTTCAGCATTGTGGACATGTTCTTTAGCTTTCCTCTTGGTTGGCTAGCCAACCAAGTCATATAAATAAAAAATAATCCAGTTAGCTGATTGGTTTGCAGGATCACCAGAGGAAAGAGTGTTCATACTCATTTTTTGATTATTTTTCAAAATTCCCATTTCAGCATGTAAAAGGAAATGTGAGGCTGTTGCTATAGAGGGCACAACACTGGGCCAATTGAGGGGGCCTGTGCTATGACCTCTAGAAAAGGCAGGCTGGAGATGCCACAACATAGTGACAGAGAAAGCATTATGAAGGTTCCAGGATGACTGAATCAGACTGTGGGAATGTGAAAGGGCTTTATGGAAAAGAGGATCATGCTTTGGAGCATGAGAAGGATATGGGGCAACCTGGGAAGAGATGAAATTGAAAAGGGGGATTGAGGCCTGGTGTGGTGGCTTACTCCTATAATCCCAGCAATTTGGGAGGCTGAAGCAGATGGCTCATTTGAGGTCAGGAGTTCGAGACCAGCCTGGTCAACATGGTGAAAACCCATCTCTACTAAAAATGCAAAAATTAGCCGGACCTGGTAGTAGGTGTCTGTAATTCCAGCTACTCAGGAGGCAGAGGCTGGAGAATCGCTTGAACCTAGGAGGTGGAGTTTGCAGTGAGCTGAGACTGTACCACCACACTCCAGCCTGGGCAACAGAGTGAGACTCTGACTCAAAACAACAAGAAAGAAAAGGAAGGAAGGAACTTCTTTCTTTCTTATCTTTCTTGTTCTTTCTTCCTTTCTTCTCTTTCTTTCTTGTCTTTTCTTTCTTTCTTTCTTTCTTTCCTTTCCTCTCTCTTCCTTCCTTCCTTCCTTCTTTTCTTTTCTTCTCTTTCTCTCTTTATTTCTTCTTCTTTCACTCTCTCTTTCTTTCTTGTCTTTCTCCTCTTTCTCTCTCTCTGTTCTCTCCCTTCTTCCTTCTTTCTTTCTCTCTTTCTCCTCTTTGTCTTTCTTTCTTCTTGCGTGTCTTTCTTTCTTTCTTACTGTCGTTCTTCTTTCTT